TTTAAGAGCTCGAAGAACCAATTGAGCTTGATTGCCTATCAACCCAATCTTGTCTCTCGACAGTTTGGCATTTCTCAATTGCTTCCTTCGCCTATATACCCTCGAGAGAGACTGCTACTCTTTTATAATGCAGATTACTCAGAGGATGCCGCTACCAAGCATATTGGTAGGTATTCTGGTCAAACTACACTGACCCTGTTCAATTTTAACCTTCATTTTCTGAACTCTACCATTTATGAGACGTGGTGGAGACACTATTATGAGGAAGAGTTCTTCGACGAGAAGGACTTTGCCCACCATCTGCGTGAGGCATTCAAGCTGGTTCTCGACAGAGTTAAAAAAGGTATTCCTTTTTCCATCCCTTCGCTTTAGATTTGTTTTACCAACTCCTAACTAACCATAGCTGTTTTGCCTTTCGTTAGCTGTCAAGCGGGTTGCAAAGAAAACCGCTGAGAGTGCAAAAGGGGGAGACTCTGCCATCAATCCCTCTCCTAAGGTACTTACTTTTCTTTTTTACCCTTAGTTTTATCTGACGTAGTTATTGACCTTCTCGCCTTGGTTTTTTATACGCTTAGAAATCCACTCCAAAAAAGAGGAAGGTTCAAGGGATCCAAATCTCTAGCGATGAGGAAGAGGAGTCTCCACCCGTTCCTTTGCAGAGACGAAGATTGAAAAAACCAACTCCTGTTGTTAAAACTTGTCCGAAAATTAGGATTAAAACTATGGCGGGGAGGTTACCTCCTGTCATCATCAATGAACCCACTGAACAGGAGATGATCGCCAGATTAAACAATCCTAGTGAAAGTGACAATTCTAGTCCTGGTGCTGAAATTCCAGTACAGGTATCCACTTCGACTGCTTGTTATGTACCTCTCACTCTCTTTTACTTTGTGACACTTTTACAAGCAATGAATTCTTTCTATTTTTCAGGACACTGCTGGCACTTCGACACGAAACCCTACTCATGTCGAGGATTCGACCACTTGCTTGAATAGTGACGGGATTCCCACCTACAGACCTTCTTCAACAAAAGACTCTTTCGTGAGTTCAGCTGACGAAGTGAATCAGACTTCTGAACCCCATCGTGAAACCATAGAAGAAGCTGATGAAGAAGAAGCTAAAGGAAATCAAGAGGAGGTTAGGATTCCTATGGTCGAAGTTGAGACAGAAGAGGAACATGGGGAGATCCCAGAAGCTGAGGGTGATGAAGCTCTTGCTGAAGAAAACCAAAATCCTCCAGGTACTGAGGCAATTCCTACTCAAGTACCTAACATGGTTATTGCAGCCAACACAAGCATCCCTTCGACTGGGTCGAGAACCAAAGAGGATTTGGATTTACTGAAGCAACAAGATCCGTTAGGTTATTTGACTGCAATCTTGGAGGGTCGAGAGAGCTCCTCTGATCGTAGCGCCTCGAATGTATCTGGCAGTACCTCGACTTCCCCTCTCGACGAAGCTCTTCAAAAGGTTAAAGCACAAATCTTTAAAAGATATTTGATGTTAACTTTAGAGGGGGAACCAGCAGCGCCTTCCTATCTGAAGACTATCTTGAAAGTTGTTGATCTTCTTGTTGCCCCTCTAGACATAGCCAGTGTAATCCTGGATTTACTTTCTATCGTCGAGCAAGTATCAGCAGACTTCAATCGTCAAAGACTCATTAATCGTGATATTGAGGAAGCCAATGGCCAAGTGGCTGCTGCCTGGAAAGCTGCCACTGAATCCACTTCTAGAGTAAAGGACTTGTCGAAGGCCTAGGAGGCAAGGCAAAAGGAAGTCGAGGATATTGATCAAAACAGTGCTCAGTTGAGAGCACAGATTGCAGAGTTGGAAGCAAAACTCGCTGCCAACGACAAAAAGAAAGAGGATCTTTTTGCTGTGAACACTGAGTTAGAAAGCTAAGAAGAATTGGCTTAATGGTTAAGACATGTGGATCGAGCTCAATCTCTGGACGCCAAGCTCGAAACCCTTCACAAATCAAAAGCTCTCTGTGATCGAAGGCTATAATTACAACGTATCAAGTACCTCCAGATCAAGGCCAATCTTCCCTTTTGAATCTTGTTTCTTTTAACTATGTAATCACTTTCCGTAACAATTTCAAAGCCATTTTGGCCTCTTTAATGAAAATCATTTAAGTTTCCATTTAGGCATTCTTTATAATTAGTGATTACATATTATTTATTTTTATCTCTTGAAGCATAGGTCTATACGTTTTCAAGTATTTACCATTTACCTTCAAGAGTCTTCGATCTTCGCTTAACTCTTCGATCTCATAGGCCCCACCTGAGAAAGCATGCACAATCTTAAAAGGTCCTTCCCACTCAGGGGATCATTTTCCCAAGCTTCGATCCTTTCGATCCATTGGGAGTATTACTTTCCAAACTAGATCTTCAGGCTGGAATGTCTTGGATTTTACCCTTCGATTGTAGGATTTCTCGACTCGCTTCTTTTGTAGTCTCAAAAGGTCTAAAGCTTTCAACCATTCTTTGTCTAAGTCTACAAGCTCATCCAACATCATGTTCCAATAGACTTCGGAAGGGATCTCGTGATGCATTTGAATCCTTGTCGCTTGCAAGTGGATTTCTACTGGTAACACCGCATCATGACCATAGGTAAGGCGAAATGGCGTTGTCCCTGTAGCTTCTTTGGGACACGTACGACATGCCCACAGGACTTGATCTAGTGTTTTGTGCCAGTTTCTAGGTTTCTTTCCCACATGTTTCTTTATTAAACTGATCACCACTTTGTTTGCTGCTTCGACCTGACCATTAGCTTGTGCATAATAAGGCATAGACGTCAATAGCTTAAACCCTACTTCTGCAGCGAAATCTTGCATTTTTCGACCAGTGAAGACTGATCCCTGGTCTGTAGTTATTGTCTCAGGGATCCCAAACCTGTATATGATGTGCTTTTGAATGAATTCAATGACATTCTCTTGGTCTACATTGATTAAAGGAATCGCTTCGATCCATTTAGTAAAATAATCAATGCCCACCAATAGATACTTCTGACTTTTAGAAGATGCTGGTCGAATCTCCCCAATGAGATCCAAAGCCCATCCTCTAAAAGGCCAAGGTTTCACAATTGAGTGAAGCTCATTTGCTGGCACATGTTGAATGTCTGTATGTTTTTGGCATTCTTGGCATCCTTTGGCAAACTCAACACAATCTTTTAGCATAGTGGGCCAATATAAACCTTGTCGAAACAATAACCATTTCATTTTTTGGCCTACTTGGTGTGCTCCACATGCCCTAGCGTGTGTGGTAGAAAGGGCCACATACGCCTCTGTTTCACTTAAGCATTTCAAGAGTACACCTTCTGGCGTTTTCTTAAACAGTTCGCTTCCCATCAACACATAACTCAGTGCTCTTTACTTTATCTTTCATTCTGTCGAAGCTGCTGGATTTTGCAAATAATCCACTACAGGCTTTCTCCAATCCTGCTCTGTTAGATTGTCTATGAACAATATTTCAAAATTTTCCTGATCAGTATACCCCAACTTTGTGGTCTTTAAGTTTGATGGAAATAATTTGGTTGCAGTTACTCTCCCTCTAACTTCCACTGCTTGTTTCAGCCTCTCTTTCGAAACTTTATACCCATAAGCAATTTGTGCCAAATCGTTGGCTGCTTGATTTTCTATTCTGGGTATGTGTCGAATGTTAACTGCCTCAAAATTTTTCAACAACCGTCTGGCTATTACGAAATACATAATAAGGTTTTCTTTTATGCATTTATATTCTTTCGTAATTTGTTTTAGGACTAACTCCGAATCTCCCATTATTTCGACTCGAGTTGTCCCCAATTCCAACAAAATTTCAAGGCCTATAATTAATGCTTCATATTCAGCCTCATTATTCGAACAATCCCCATCTATTTTGTACTTAAATGTTTTTGGAATTTTATTGGGAGAAATAATAAGGACTCCGACTCCGACTCCATCTTTGTAACGAGATCCATCGAAGTAGAGTTTCCATGGTTCGATCTCCAGATAATTTAGTGATCTTTCTTGTACAGAGTGGTCGACTATAAAGTCTGCAACCACTTGGCCTTTTATAGCTTTAAGAGGCATGAAATTTAATGAATATTCAGTCAATGCAAGTGCCCACTTACCAACTCTACTATGCAGAATGGGTTTTGACAACATATACTTGAAAGTGTCAAAATGAGATGAGACATAAACATTAACTGGCTTTATATATTGCTTAAGTTTTGTACATGAAAAATATAGACATAAACACAGTTTTTCAACTTCGTTATATCTAGTTTCTGCATCATTTAAAACTCTACTGAGGTAGTATATGGGCCTTTCGACACCATGTTCGTCCTCCTGAGCAAGCATGCTCCCTAAAGTCTTATCTGACGCAGCTATGTACAGCCTCATACTTCTATTCCGACAAGGAGGCACCAGAATAGGTGGTTTAGTGAGGTACCCTTTGATTTTGTCGAAGGCCTCTTGATGTTCTTCCTTCCATTCAAATCCTCCTTTGTTGAGTCGAAGTAGTGGCGAAAAGGCTTGCGTTTTCCCACTAAGGTTGGATATAAATCTCCTTAGGAAATTTATTTTCCCAAGTAGGGATTGCAATTCCTTTTTGTTAGTTGGCGCCTTGGCTTGCAAGATAGCTTTGGTCTTGTTTTGATTTATCTCGATACCTTTCTTGTGGACCACAAAACCTAAGAAATCTCATGCTCTTACACCAAAAGCACATTTTAGAGGATTCATCTTCAAACCATACCGTCTCATCCTCTCAAAGGATTGTCGAAGATGATTCATATGATCTTTCCCTGAAACAGATTTGACAACAATATCATCAATATAAATTTGCATGAAAGTGTCAATAAAATCATGGAAGATCGAATTCATGGCTCTTTGATACGTTGCCCCTGCATTTTTTAGGCCAAAAGGCATCACTACCCATTGATACGCACTTCCAACCAACCATCATCCTCTCCAATTTGCTTTGGGTTTGATTTTTGTTTCTCTTCTTTTTTCTTTTGCTTTAGCCATGATGCATCTTGATGTACCATTAGTTGTTGCTGAAAGTGATTTTTGTAGCTTATATTTGTTTAAAAGGCGAGCAAATAGAGAGAGAGAGATGAGTGAAAATAGGATATGAAATTTTAACATATTTCTTTTTTTTTAATACGTTTGTTTTTATTTTATTTAAAATTAAGTAGTGGCCAATTGTCATTGTGTTACTGACTTTTGGATTTAATTTGGGTATGATCTTGTACATGACATCCCCATTGTATCAACATGAATCTCATCGTGACAACCCATTGATTTTTATCAAGTGGCTCAAATAAGTGGTAGCTTGCTGGATCTTAAGTTTAGATAAGGACCCTCTGATCATCTTCAGATGGTCCAGATTTATCCAAGCACTTTTTGTATTGTTTTTTTTTGTTTTGTTTTTGTTTTATTTATTTATTGGGCTTAAGCCTTGGGCTCTCTTTTTGCTAAGTCTTCACCTCTATTTCATTCTTGGCACCCATTTTCTATGATTTGTTTTTCATATCATTTGATTTAATCGTGTTTTATCTGTAGATTAAACTCATGATTATTAAATAATCAAAACTCTATTTTATTTCCAATATGAAATCAAGCTTTTTTTACCATAATAAATATTCTCACCATGAAAATCAAACTATTTGCATTTTTAAAATAAGATTTTTTTATATAATTTATTCAGATTAAAGAAAGGTGTACATTTTGCTCGAACTGATTATTTATCTTCGATTATATTTTTTTTGTAATTAAATTGGATTAAAAAAGGAAAAATGGGTGATCACTCTTTTTATCCTCAACAAAGTATACACTTTGTCTGAACTGATTATTCATCTTTTGTTGGAATTTTCTTAATAAAAAATCAGATTAAAAAAGGAAAATTGGGTGCACACTCTTTCTATCCTCGTATAGTCAAACACAAGATGTACACTTTGCTTGAACCAATTATTTGTCTTCCGCCAAATATTACATAATCAAACTTGGATTAAAAAGGACAACCAAATGTACATCTGCTTAATTATCGAGTAATCAAACACATGGTGTATACTTTGTCTAAATCGATTACTCGTCTTCCAAAAATATGATTTTAAGAAATAATTGGATTAAAAAGGGAAAATTGGGTGTACTCTTTTTATCCTCGATTAGTTGAATGCAATGTGTACACTTTGTTTAAATAAATTATTCATCTTCCACCTAAAATCAATTTCAACTATTCAAACTTACTTTTTCCGCCTCACCACGATGAATTTTTATTATAAACAAACAATATTTTATCCATTCCGACGCCAGGCACAGATAACATTTCATTCCTTTCATCCGCGAGTAGCAAGCATCATTGTCCGCTCGAATGCGATCGAAACATAATCCGATGGATTCCAGATCGTGTTTTATCCTTTCCGACGCGAATCACACACAATGTTCACTACTCCCATGCTGGGGTAGAGATCAATATTTATAGCTCGAATGCTACCTAAACATCTTTTGCTAAAATCAACCAAAAAACAAACATTTGCTCCCTAGAACTACATAGCTTTGATTTCCTCATTGCACCCGGAGATACGTAGTAGCAAGATTCACAATCTTGTCAAAACAATAATAAAAAAAATCTATTTTCCTTGCTCATAACTATGTAACTTTGAGTTCCCCATTTTACCTGGAGATACGTAGAAGCGAGATTCAACGTCTCACCAAGCATCTTAATAAAAAAAAACCTATTTTTACTTCTTTTTGTGAATATGTCATAATAATGAGAAGAAATCAAATATTTTAATCAAACACTCTTATTCATAAATCTAATTAAGCGGTTCCCCTTGGGTACAACAGATGTTGCAAGATGCTAATACCTTCCCGTGCATAATCAATTCTCAGACCTAAATTTGATTGCGATGACCATGTTTATGTTATTTTAAGGTTTTATTTATGTTTTCCCTTTTAAAAATAAAATTCGGTGGCGACTTCATTTGATTTAGAGCGTCAATCCACTCGGGTATTTTTTGCGCTGCTACAGCTTGAGCGCGAGAATTATATTATTGAGAAGAAATTGGTTGAGTTGTGGAAAAAGGCTGAGCTCTTTGACTCTCTACAGGAGGAGGTGAAGCAATACAGTTCTCCGATAACTTTGACCACTCATATAGTGGAGTTAAAGGCTTCTCTTGTTGAGGGAAATGAACGTTTGAAAAAAGCTTCTGAAGATGCGGTAAAGGCATGTCGTGATTTCGAAGAGGATCAAAAATCTATTCAATGGAAGAAGGATAATCGATCCAAAGTTATGAAAGCATCGAGAAAGACCTGTCTATTACAAGAAAGAAGCATAAGGAGTTCCTCTAGCGAGCTATGGAATTCGTGCATCGTGTCTGGGATCAGACGTTGGAGTCGGAACGAGGATTTTGTACCGACCTTTCTACAATGCTGACTAGTTAAACCCCTCCCAATTTGTTCCTAGAGAGAACTTAGGATATGGTCCGGGTGTTTCGAAATCGGCCGTTGACGCTCGAGGATCTTTTATACCCATTTCTCTTTTATTTTTCCTTTGTTCTTCTATAACTTTTTCGTGTTTTACGCCTCGGTTTGTAAACAATATTTATATTATTATCTTACGCATGCTTGTATTTTTTGTTTCATATTATACTCCTTTTTTAATCGTAATTTTCAACTGACTGAGAGTCGAGGAATGTCAGGGTACGATTTTGACCCTTGCAATTTATATAGTTTGTTTGATACGATAAATGATAAACAATATTTACTTAAAGAGTAAATAACATTAAGTTCTTCACAGGGTTATGTTTGGATATTTTATTCATAAGCCTATCACATTAAGATGTAAGCATTTTATTGGTAAGATGTTGGTCCATATAGATACAGTCATACTTGAAATGTGTTCATGCTGATAAAGTTTTGGTTTGGCTTGATGCAGTTGACCTTTAAATTACATTTATAATGTGGAAGTGTTGACTTGACTTGTAATGATTTTGCATGGGACCGATTAGATGAGGCTAAGTTTTGAATCTATCCATAGGAATGAGGCATGAGACTGGCTAGATGCATCTACACTTTGAATCATATTTATAGGAATGAGGCATGAGACAGACTAGATACGCCCATGCTTTGAATCATATTCATAGGAGTGAGGCATGAGACCAGCTAGATGCATATATGATTTTAATCATATTCATAGGAGTGAGGCATGAGACAACTTAGATGAAACCATACTTTGAATGATGCTTCGAATTATAAAGGATCATTCCCCAACTAAGGATAGAAGATTCCCATACCCTCCCCCGAGGTAAAGCTCAGATCGAGGTGGACGTCTTCAGCCTCCACCACTCACGTCCCTTAGATGGGCTAGATTCGAAGGAGGAGGGGTGCACAAGCTACGTAGAAATGTGTATAATCTTTGACAACACCCTTGAAATCTTTAGGTACACTCAGTGTTATGGATTATTGATCATTATAGTCAGACGTGCAAAGCATCTACGACAACACCCCTGAAATCTTTAGTTCGAGTGTCAACTCCATTAATTATATTCTGATTTATTGTTACATGCACACTTATATATATATATATATATATATATATATATATATATATATATATATATATATATATATATATATATATATATATATATATATATTGCATTTAACAATTATATCGTTAATTACATCTATGCAATAAATTTACAAATACATTAATTAAATAATATGGTCGACCGCAAGTAGATATCAATCACTCTCCCTCAGAGATATTGTCTGGGTAGTTTGAATTTCAGTTGATGTGAAGGACAAAGTCTTCGAATTAGAAAACAGTCGACCTTTGATGGAAGTTTAGGTTGCCTGATGGTTTCGATCGACGAATGATGGGATCACTGTTTGTTCAGCCTCTCCTCAAATAGAATACGGGGTGCTTCTGTGGTGAATCTGTCTTCTATTAAACTTGTCCAGTATTTCCTTTGGAACCAGAGTTATAGGTGGTGGTCTAATGTGCATACCGACATGTATTAAGGAGATCGGGATCCATGGTGTCTTTCACTTGGAAACCCTAGTGTATCCCTGCTTTGCAATTCTATTGGTGGTAACCCTGATGCATCCAACAGAAATCCTATGATATCAGTGGGATGCACCTTAATATTTGATCGACGCCAACATTAACTACGAACTTGCAATATCTGTGTGCCATTAATTATGAACTTTTGATGTCTCCCATCGACTTTGCTTTTATTCCTCTTGGTGACAGCGGGAGGTCCGGACGTTGTCATGTCGAACAATGGATCGCGAGGCTTTGACCCAGTTTTCATGAAAATCGTGTTCAGACCCCGATGTAACCCTAGATTTGGATCTAAAATCCTTTATTTTGTTGTTCTGCAAAACTTTTAGGGAAATCATAGATCTTAATAGTGGAAAACTGAATCATAGAAGGTAGTTATCAAAATCAGTTGTGACGAATCTTCGTGTTCGCATGGGAATGCTCCCAATTTTCAGACCTGAGGGAGTTATGAACGACGGAAATGGAAAACAACTGCGAATTTGCGAAAATCGTAGGAATTAGAAGTTGATTTTGTCATGATTTGGTAACTTTAGGAGGTGATGAACTGATAAATCAAAGATCTGGATCTAGAACCGCCAGAACCTGGATTTAGGACTTCTGCAATTGTTCGATGGCGCTTTCGAAGCGATCGTGACTTTCGTGGAAATTGTAGGTATTGGAAGTCTTTCTTAAAGATAACATCATTGTTCCATTCGAGAATCCGAAATGGATGATCTAATTCCACCAATGAATTGAAAATGAAGGATGCTCGATAATAGTGATCTTGAATGGTGGCTCCACACTCTTTTACGGTGGTGCGGAATAGACTTGCATAGTTAACACTCTGAAGTCCAAATCAATTCAAGATTAAAAAAAAAATATTAAAAATGAAGATTAGAGATTGTGTACTTAAAATTATCTTGTAATTATATTTACTTTAAACTCAATGAAACTCACTTTATTAGACGTTTGATCGATAAATAACAAATATATTATAGAGGACCAAACACATTAATTCGATAAAAGGGAAGATTTGCGTGAAGGGTTAAAAAAAGAGATAAATTGTTGAATAGGATTTAAAAATCCGATGAATATAAAATCTTAATCAATTGTTTATAAATGTTAAAAAAATCCAATAAAATAGTTTTACACTATCATTCAATAGAAAATCACAAATCTACTGTATTATTAAATTTTATTTTAAATAAAATAGATGTTTAATTGAATACATAATGGTGATTGATTGAATGTATAAAAATATTTTATACACTCGGTGCACCATCTTTTTTCTCATAAATTAATATACAAAAATAAAAATAATAAAATAATAAATCTTATACCGACGTGACACATATATATATCTTTAACTTTAACAATAACAAATACACTCTATCTAAAAGAAAGTTCTTGTAGTCATAGTTAGAAGATATATTTGAGATACTATTACTAAGTGGAGTAATGTTTAAATCTATTAATAAAAATGATATTTATATGAAAACTGTTAAGATTATTATTATATTTGAAATATCTATTTTAATAGTCAAATTTATAATAGTAATGACAAATTATTGGTGATTCTAGCGGTGAAAATTAGAGATTAAGTTATTTAATTAACTTGACTTGTAAAAGCAAGAGTCGCCATCACACTTTATTATTTTCAAGGGAAAAGAGAAAAGTGTGAAATAAAACCCATAAATATGCAAAGTAAGTGCAATACTAAAAGTAAAGAAAAATACAATACATTTGAAAGAGATCGAAGAAAGGAAAAGTACTAACATCTTATGTATCTATAGTATCCTATAAGAACTTTTTGAAATATTTGTTTTTTTTTGTTGTTAAAATTGATTTGCTTGCTAAATGAGTGTGGGAATGAGATCTTGAAGATGCGACGGCCTAGTGTCGAAGTTTTAGCTTAAATGAGTGTAAGTTTAAAAATTGAGTTTTCCAGAAGATTTAACTTAAGATTAACAAAACTAAAATGTATGAAAGGAGTTTCGCATAATCCTATTAGATATATTCAATGACATGAAGTTAACGAATTAATCCTTTTCCTTGGAGTTGTGCAACAAATGAAATCAACAAACATATGACAAGGTGATCAAACATTATATAATCATCAAGCATCACGAATTTATCAAGCACAAGAATCATAGTGAAGTTAATGGTCAAACAAAAAGAAACAAACTATATTTTTATTATTTTTATATATAGAATTTCTTTTAGCTAAAAGATTAAATATGAAAAATAAAATAAATAAATAAGAAATAAAAGAACAAGTTTCATGGACTAGAGGGCTGGTGTCAGGGAGTAAATTCAGATGGGTCTTTATGACATAAAAAATAGCAGGCCCAAACAACTGATAAACTAAATGAAAGAAAAAGAAAAAATATGATAGTGTTGGATCGGACCGGGTCGGGTCCAGACCCAACCCAAATGATATAAGCAAAACAGGTCAAAAATCCTAACACAATATCCAGCGCCCTCTTGTTCCTAAACCCATGAAAAAAAAGGAATGTCCTCATCTTCATCTCTTCGTAAAACAGAACAAAACTCTCAACTCCAATTTCTTGACCTCTCAATCTTTTGACTCAATTCTAATTCTCTATTTCTCTCTATCCGAAAACAACAACAATAAACTTTTAATCTCTCATTCTTCTTTTGTCTGCTTTTCACCATAAATCCTTTTGTCTCTTCTCTGTATTCCTCTTACTATTAGCTTTCATTGATTCAACTAATTGGTTTCGTCAAGAATAACACAGTGCACACGATAACGAAATTGAACCAAAAGGGGGAATAAATTGAAGGAGATTGAAGCGTTACCTACGGAGCAGAAAATGGCTCCGGTGAGTTGTTGCGAAGAAGTCGAAGATAGTGACAAGAAATCCAAAGGTGAAGATTAAAATTCAAGTAAGTGCTCCTGATGCTATTTCGTGTGATGTCTCTTTCTACTTATTCTTCATTCTCATATGCGTTCGGTGGTAGTGTTGTTTTTTAACGTGTGGATTCACTGATGTTGAAGATTGAAAATGAATGTTGTTGTTCGTCCATGTTGAAGTTACAATAAGGAGGTTATTTTTGAGTTTTTGTTGTGGTTTTGTTGTTGTTGCGTTTGTTCTCTGCAGGGTTTGAGCGGGTAGTAGTGATTAAGTTTAAATGAGCAGAGGTTGGGGGAAGAAATAAAGTGTTAGGTTGTATAGGGGTTTGGAGAAAAATCAAGGTTGTTGAGCAGAGATTTCTTGTGAGATCGTCCCCTTTTTTCTGAGTTATCGTGCTTGTTTTTATAGTGAATCAAGTGAGTTTTTTTGTGGGAAATCTCGAATGTGAAAATTGGTTTTATGGTAACTGTTTTATTGCTTTTGGGTACAAGTTTTTGTGTTATCATTTTTATG